CTCGTTGGCTGGGCTTCGCCTCTCGGCTCCCTCCCGGCCCTCCATATATATACTCCATCCCGTATCGCACGCGAGCGCCCATACATATGTACGTGTATATATATATATATATATAACACCAGCCCCCTCCCGAAAAAAAAAAAAAAAAAAAAAAAAAAAAAAAAAAAAAAAAAAAAGTGTTACGTTTTTGTAATAATCGCAAAGAACGCATCGCTATAATACAATTATATCGTGATTGATGATTGTCGCACCGAGAACATGATACTATACGACACGTAGGGTATATATAAATACGCATACTTGGCCAACTTTGGCCAACGGTGTTCCGTTCCTCGCGGCGTGCGCGCAAGATAATCACGGCGTGTAATATACGTACAATATACCTAAAAATAAAATGCCGAGCTGTGAGCGTAAAATAAAAAATTTGAAGGAAAAAACAAAGTATAAATAAATAAATAAATGAATTGCTATTACTTTACGTACCGTAACAGCTGTAACTATTAACATTTCAGATTACTATTACTTTTTCGCCCTTTTTTACGTGAACCCATCCATTACAATCTAATTGCGTTTGTTTCTCATGTGACATTTCATTCCTGCAAATGAAAAAATGAATATTTTTGCAAAAGTTGCAACCATTCATGCAAAAATCATAAATCACAATTATATAATTATTTACATTTTATGTAACGCGGATAAATATTTGTTTTTCTATTTTCAATTTAATGTAATTAAATGCGCATAACGCTCTGACGCTTACTTGACCAATATTTTCTTATTTTTATCAAGTGACGATTTTAGTGAAACATATTTACAGAAGCTCTTTAACGAATTTTCACAAAAATAAAAAAACATTTTCTCCGGTTGCACACTTCATTTAATGGAAAACATGTGGAAAGAAGTAGATGCTCGCTCAAGGGAGTTTTTCATTAAAAAAATGTCATAGCTATTTCTCTTTGACAAGTGCTGTTTCAATAGACTCTTTTATTCGCCCAATCCCCCGACTCCATTTATTTCTTTTGTCTGATTTCTTTCCATACGTGCACTTATGCCTTGGCTAAGAAAATTTAGTATAAAAAACCTACGATAAAGGGCCACCGACTCGGGGCTCATAAATTGTTCAAAAACATTGTACCAAGTGGATCGAAATCGTATGAAATAAAAAAGTTCAGCTAATTATTTCAACAAAATCATTCTACTTGAGCGTTTTTTAATTCAAATACTACCCCCTCGGAGTTGTGTGCTCGAAAGATTGCGTAGAAATTTCAGAAGCAAGCATATACTTTTCGAACGTATCGAGAGAAATGAAATATGAAAATAATCATGAAAATCCTTGAAAATTGATATCGTGAAAATTTTGCTGTTGGCACGTTATTGCGTTCACCTAAACTAGTAAAATTAATTTTTACCTCAAAAATGGTACAACTACACTGCAATTTTACATAGAGTAAATTTCTCTCGGTGAAGCGATCCGACGACTGCTACAGCACGTGCACTCTTGAACGTTATGCGAGTACTAAACGCTTGCCCGCACCCCCTTTATGTCAACAGCAGCAGCAGCAGCAGCAGCAGCAGCAGCAACAGCAACACTCGCAGCACCAGCAGCACACGGACATAGGTGGCCTACTGCCCGAGCTTGCCACGCACGACGAGCTCGCCGCCATGGTCAACCGGGGCCTCCACCCCCACCTACTCGCCGACCCGACGGCCCTCCACGGGCTCAAGCAGGAGCCGAGCTCTTACGCCCCGGCCAACAACCCCTTCAGCATAACGAGGCTCCTGCCCGGGGTTGCCTCGACCGCCGCCGCGGCAGCCTCCCCCGGGGCCCAAGTGCCGCCCGACAGCAAGCCCCCCGAGCTCAAGCAGATGTACGAGCTGCACCACCAGGGCTACGTGAACGCGGCCGCGGCCGCAGCCGCCGCCAGTTACCAGCAGCACGCCAACGGCATGCACCACCAGATGTCGAGCACCGGGGGCGGTGGTGGTGGTGGTATCGGTCAGCCCTCGGACTATTACCAGAGCCCGCTGTACCACCCGGTGGCGGGTTCGGGTCCAGTAGGCCCTGGCTCCTCCGGGGGCCCCGGCTTGTGACACCACGCCTCGCACCCCTTCGCCCTCGCCTGATTCGCTGCCGCTGCGGCCGCGGCCGCGGCCCAACGCTGCTGGTCCCCCGCCGACGACGACCTCGACGAGGACGACCCCCAAGCTGCCTCGCCCAGCCTTGCCTACTGCCTCCAGCCGACCGTCCCGCACCAGCTGCACCACCCATCATCACAGCCCCTCGGCCAACAGCAACAGCAACAACAACAACAACAACAACAACAACAACTCATGCAGCGGATGAAGCTAGCCAGTGCGGGATACTGCAAGGAATAGAGGACCCGTGCAGTGCATATACATATACTATTTCGTCGGTAGTGCGCGATCAGTGACGGGCCGCCGTGTGTATGTGTGTTGTGCGCCGTTAAAGTTTCCGCTGGTCCTCCTCCCTGTGTACCATAAGTGTAGATAGTCGCACCCACAATGGCACTCGTGTATACGCACAACGGCTTTCGCAACGGTTATAATTAAACCTCCACACGGATGGACACGTATTGTAAAATGCACGCGTACCTTATAACATGCAGATGTGCGTACAACGGCAAAGTGCAAAGTGATGGCTAAAGTGCATACGGTCAACTGTGCTCAAGTTGCAGAAATATTTGAGAAAGTAGCAAAAACTTATACGTATAGGTGCAGGCAGGATGAAAAAAAAAATGGGGTGCGCAAATGGTGTTGTACGTGTCGATGAATAAAACAACGGCAAATATCCAAGACTCGCTCGGGACGAGCGAGCTGTGCTAACTATACATACAAAAAAAATACACACACACATATATATGTATATTATATATTGTAAATAAAAAAAACTTTGGTAGGTATAAATATGCAAAAAAATACATATATATATATAT